ATGGATGGATGGATGGATGGATGGATGGATGGATGGATGGATGGATGTTTGATGAAAGAAGTGATTGTATCAGATGACAGAAGAGACTTCTACCAGCCAGGAAAAGACATTTGTCCCAGATTAAAGACAAAGTGGACAGTCTTTGTGTAAAGAGGACTTCTTCTGTGTTTCTCACTTACAAACAGAGCTGTGAGATCAGGGTTGTGTGCATTATTCATCACTGATCAAAGAGTAAATCACCTGCTGAGGTAGAAGTGCCACAGCGGCATCACAGGCTCAATTCGTTTCGGGGAGAGGTGGCTCAGGCTCTCGCTGATCTGGAGGTCGGTTTCAGTGGTGTTTGTGCTTAAGGGTTTGGAACTCCAGCGGCTGAGGGCGTGAACCATCACCAGGCCCAGAGACTGTACAAAAACAACAAAGCCACAATACTTAGGTTAAAAATATTCACTCTCCAAACAGGAAGGAACAATCAAATGATTGCAAGTGTTACCATGATAACTTTAACTCTCTGTGTTACAGGGTTGGGCTTGTTGTCCTCCTCCTCCATCACTCTGGAAAAGTTACTCAACTGCCAGATAGGATGGCCCTCTTGATTCTCACGAGACAACTGCAACAAAAACAACAAATTCAATAAATGCAATAAAACCAAATTAAAATGCAACAGTGACATCACCTCCTTACCTCCAGCACCAAAGACACACACGCAGGGAAGAATGTCATGAACACAAAGTAGTTGGCTAAAACTGACATGCATCCAAAGCCGCACATGATCTCCAGTTGCCGAACACCTGGAACGTAAGAACTCCTGTCGTCACACAACACAGATCTAGAAAAACTGCAAGAGCATAGCATACAGCACATTAGAGCAGTAATTTCTAACACAAACCCAGCTCGACCCACATTAGGGCCGGGTCGGCCATAATAATGTGCTTAATGTGCGGGTCGGGCTGGTGTCGGGCTTTTGATTGCATCAGCAGATGCGCGTGGCTGATGATCCAATTATATGACAACATGGCTTGCTATATAATCACCTGCCACACGCAGCCATTTGACCATGCGCTGACTGGCCTTAAAAGAGGTAAAAAAAAGCTCAGTTAAAGTAAAGACATTCAAACCAATGAGACATCTTTGTTCATTCCTTTAGAAGGTGGTGGCGTAATTTAAAAAAGATTCAGCTGCACTCAGCGGACGCGCGCAGCCAACGACCCAAACAGATGACATCCTAAAATATCCGACATGTCAGAGCAGGGTCCGTGTCTGAATAATGCAGAATGCAGGCAGAAACAGGGATTCAATGCACTTTGACGGCCATGAAAGATCAAACACCCCCTCAGCTCCAATCTCCTGTCCCTTTTATTCAGCCGCGCGCGTCCGCAGACCATTAATAACTATTGTATATAAACAGTCAAAACTTAATTAAAAATTATGGGTTTTTTTCGGGTTCGGACTGTTAATTCGTTGGGTCGAGTGGGGTTCGAAAATTATGGCTACGGGCTGGGTCTGATGTTTTGGGTCTGAATGCAACTCTACAGCAAATTACATGCCCACCTATAAACCACTATACAACAGTGACGATGCATGTGTCGTTTTGTTAAATTATCCTGGGCGGATCAGAAGTTATGGCCCGAACAAGAACCTGCATACGTATGATCGAACAGACTGGCTGAGACTACACCAGAATACGTCTGTCTTTTGACAAGTGTATAATAAGAATCAGACCACCTGCAGCAGCCAGACAACACACACACACACGCATGCACGCACGTGTCTGTCTTTCTACTTTATGGGGACTTTGCATTGATTTCCATTCATTTCTATAGCCTAACCCTAAACCACCAGCGAGACTGCTCCTTGTTGGGACCAGGCTTTGGTCCTCACAATGTAACCTGAAACCAAACTGTACACGCACACACACACAAACACACACCTGAAACATGCAACATACAATACAACAACAGGAGACACAAATGACTGTTTAATTCCTTAGATTTAAACTGGATTTATGTCTTCTTAGTTCATAAACATGACACCATCTCTTGTAAATTTAACATTGTGTGAAAAACAAGTTTTAAATCTAGAAGAACTTGGTTCATTTAAGGATGCTCTGTCCAAATGAGCAGGACAGCATGATCAGCATCCTTCATGGTGAGTTCACTAACAGCTGCAGCAGAGGTGTTTAACTCCTGAGACCAGCTTTGTTTGGTGTGCAGTTTATCTTTCTACAAGGTACATGGGGTTAGTACGAACTATTAAGTTAAATAACTAGACTCTGTCATAGTACAGGAAGTGGTTTTAAAAAAAACAATGATGTCCTCATATGAGGACAGTAGGTTTATTTTTGCATTTTATATTTTTCTTTGCAAACTTGAGTCAGAAGATCCCACTTACTTTAAAAACAAAACTTCAGCTTTCTATAAGCGGTTCTCTAAAAAAAATCGATGTCCTCATATGAGGACGAAGGGTCTCAGGAGGTTAAATCTTCAACTTTGTTAAAATAAAAATAAAAAACAATAAATAAACTCAAAAAAAAAATTTGTACCGTATTTTCCGCCGTACACGTCGCTCCTCCCTATACGTTGCATCAATCCAAATATGTCTAATAAAGTGGAAAAATCCATAAATATGTCACTTCGCATCTATTATGCGTCACTGCTGACAGCCCAGAAATGTGGGCCAGTGATGTACCAAAAATCGTTTGGATGCCAAATGGCGACCGCGGGAGTGTGCATGGGAGGACTTTAACAAGAATTTAACAAGATTAACACTTAAAAACAATTTTGTTTGCTTGACATTATAGTAAAGGTGTGTCTCAATTTAACTTTTACTTAATAAATGCACTTCAATTGTCAAATCAGCTGCATTTCACCGGGGCGTCACAGAGAAATGAAGCTGATTTGATGGTTGCTCCAAGCATGATCCCAGAGCTGGACGAAGGTGGCAGGTTATGGCAAGCTGATTGTGTCATTAATAGCTACTTTTACCTATTACATGACACAACAGTATGCCATACTACTCGAGTACCATCTAGTGGCTGAAAATATTAATGTTCAATATTGTCAGTCAGAATGAATGAAAACGGTCGTATCTCAGCCAAAAATTGGTTTATAAATGTGGGAAAAAAGCCATAAATATGTCGCTTCGGCGTATAAGTCGCAGGGCATGTAAATTATGCAGAAAACTGCGACTTATAGGCCGAAAAATACTGTAACAGAAGTAACTTGTGATTACTGACTTCAACAGAAACAGTGGAATAAAACATCTCCCACAGTTTTCTGCACTTGAACTTTGAACTGTAGCGTCTGCTCATCGGCTGATTTGTTGCTCTTAAAAATCAGCTGGAGCAGCTGCAACGTAATGCGATGCAGAAGGACGTCCGTTTTTAAGATTATTAAATCAAAAGTGACGTACCTGACATGGTTCCCACACCGATCACCAAGCACTCCACTAGAGCGTCCAAAGTGAAGGCTGGTCCCAGAACTGCCATGCCAGAAGCAATGTTCTCCCTCACTTCATCCTGAAAGCAGCTACACTTAGAGGAGTTCACTAAATGACAGCTTTCTTGTTTCACGTGCTTAAACATACCTGAGAGTTGGAGCTCAAGGCGAACTTGGCAAGTGCACACGCTTTGGACAGATCCATGAGAAGCAGGAAAAAAGGCAAAGCTTCACTGGAAGACAAGCGCATGTGTTAACGCTCACAGCAGAGGAAACCATCAGAAATGATTCAGCTGTATCTCCTGTAATAACGCAGTGTGCATGCCGAGTGCTAAAACAGCTAAAAGTATGTTTTATAAAAAGTGTATGTCCTTACTTCAGCCCCGTTAACTCTTTGTCAAAAAAGTGAATGACCACTGTGCTGAACACAAAGCTGGAGAAAATGGTGAACAGACCAGCGATGCCTACAAACAGAAAACTCATTTCAGTTATTCTGGAGAATCACGTGAACTAAAACTGGTCCAGAACCAGGAGAACTTCAACATGTCTGTTTGAGTGAGAACATCCCCAACCCAAACGGGCGGCTGTGGCTGAGTGGTTAGAGCAGTCGTCCTCCAATGCAAGAGTTGGGGGTTCGAATCCACCAGCAGTCACTTGCTGAAGTGTCCCTGGGCAAGACACTGAACCCCTCATAGCCTCTGATGTGTGCCCCATCAGTGTATGAATGTGATCGAAATCACTGATTAGTCTCATTAGAATGATTGTTCAATTAGTTTTGTAGAGATCTAGTAGAGTGCTGTATGAATGGGTAAATGAGGACACAGATTGTTGTGTAAAGAGCTTTGAGTATCTTGAAATAAGATAGAAAGGCGCTGTATAAGTACAGTCCATTTACCATTTACCATTTACTCACCCAGAATATATTTGGAGCCCAGCTGTCTCAGGCTCTGGAACTGGAAATAAATGTAAAGAATGGCAATGCAGCGTGTGATGGTCAGGATGATGATGTCACTGCTCAGTACTTCCTGTAAGAACACCACATGATGCAGGCAACATGAGGTCAGACAGGAACACAGACGGTGCAGTCCACAGAACGATGGACGTGAACCTCGGCTGGTTTCAACCCTGCAGCTGCTAAGAGTGGAGATGTTAGCCTCTTTGTGGGGGTGCGCAAACACCCCTGAAAATTTAAGAAACCATCATAAGGATTTTGTAAGGAAACAGTTCTCAAACCTTAAATTCAAAGAAATATTGAATAAATTTGGAATGAAAATAGAATAAAAGATGACGGTCTTAAAAAAGGCCAGTAAAACCTGAGCTGGATCCTCAACGCCACCTGTCAATCAATCCAGATGCTGCAGGTCTGGGATCAAACCAACTCATCAACAACAACATTTTTAATAATTATTGATGCACAAGATGATCACAACAAAAACTCCATCCATCCATCCATTATCTTTACTCGCTTCTTTGTTTTTGGGTCGTGGGGGTCACTGGTGCCCATATCCAGCAGTCACTGTGTGAGAGGCAGGGGATACCTGGACATGTCTCCAGTCCATCACAGGGACACATAGAGACAAATAAAACAAACAACCATTCACTCTCTCACCTAGAGCCAATTTAGAGTTACCAGTCAGTGTAACGCATGTTTTTGGTCTGTGGGAGGAAACTGGAGAACCCGGAGAAAACCCATGCAGCACGGCGAGAACATTTAAACTCCACACAGACAGGTCCCCGACCAGGATTTGAACTGGCACCCTTCCCGCTGAGATGTATCAACTCTACCAAGCTGCGCTGAGTCACCGTGTCGCCACAACATAAAACCATAAATACTTATTTTTGTTTAATACTTATTTATTTTGTAACATTATTTGAAATAATCAAACTGTTTAATACTTTTTATTTACCTTCATAAATTAAGTGAAAAGCTTTTAGTGTTTCCATTTAGATTTGGGTAGAAATACAGATAACCCTCCACTGCTATTCATATTAAACATAGACATACATCACCAACAATTGGTGACATTAGAAACAACACTGTTACTGTTTAATGACCAGGATTAAAAGAGAAATGTTCAAAACTGAATGATTAATAAATGGTAAATGGACTGCACTTATATAGTGCTTTTCTATCTGAACAAGACACTCAAAGCTCTTTACAACACAATCTGTGCCTCATTTACCCATTCATATAGCACTCTACTATTTCTGTACAAAGACTGATCAGTGCTTTATCACATTCATACACCAATGGGACACACATCGGAGGCAATGAGGGGTTCAGTGTCTTGCCCAGGGACACTTCGGCATGTGACTGCTGGTGGAATCGAACCCCCAACTCTCGCATTGGAGGACGACTGCTCTAACCACTCAGCCACAGCCGCCCCTAAAAA